TGTAGGTCTTTATTATTGGGAAGTTTAAAGTAATTTTATCAAAAACTAACAAAATTAGAGCAGGGCGTCCAAGACTTTTGGATCTCCCCTCGTAATATCAATAAATTAAGGGATGTTCCTTAAATGTTTTTAAAGCATGTCAGAATTTTACTCTAGTTTTCAAGTATCTAATCAGATTTTGATAATACTGAAAATTAAAAAAGTTATAAAGAAAAAGTGACCATTGAACAATTCTGTCCGGGCTACTATGTATTTAAATCTGTTTCTTGCATTTGTAATGAATAATTGTGTAGTGCTCTTTTCACTGGAAATCATTTTTTGTTAAGTGTCAATTGATAAAAAAAATCTTTTTTTTTTATTATGATGCATACATATGTGAAACTAATGTATATTTCTACTTTGGCTTAGCTTTTGTTAAAGGAAAGGGGAAATATCACAAGCTTTGAAGTCAAAATAACAAAAGATTTTGTTATTTGTGCTAAGTACAAGCTAACTAGAAAACAGCAACTCCACGGAGTAGAAAATCCCACCGAACAAAAAAAGTTTTGATAAATAGCAGCAGTCTTGAAAATCCCTTCTTGAACAGAGCTTCCGAATGTCCCTAGGTATAAGCATATGAAAGAACCAAATCTGTCCATTGGTATTTGAGTTATTGAAGATTATATTTTTTTTATGAAAAATGGTGGCTATTTCAGCTGCTATCTTAAAGAGAGCTCCTTTATCTCTAGGCATCAGTGTATAAAATCAGTCTACTGGTATTTGATCATCAAAGATTATGGTTTTCTACAAAAAATGGCGGCCATTTTGAAATTAAGTGGCCTTCTTGAAAATGTCTCCTTGAGCAGAGCTCTCTTCTCTAGGCACCAGCATTTAATATTTCAACCAAATCTGTCAACTGGTATTTGAGTTATCAAAGATTACGTTCTTTTACGAAAAAATGGTGGCCATTTTGAAAATCAGCTGCTATCTTGAAAATTCCTTATCGAGCAGAGCTTCTGTGTCCCTAGGCATCAGCATATAAAATTTGAACAAAGTCTGTCTACTGGTATTTAAGTTATCAAAAATTACGTTTTTACGAAAAATTGTGGCCATTTTGAAATTCAGCAGCCATCAAGAAAACGTCTTCTTGAGCAAAGCTCCTTTGTCCCTAGGCATAGCCTATAAAATTTGAACAAAATCTGTCGACTGGTATTTGAGTTATCAAAGATTACGTTCTTTTACAAAAAATGGTGGCCATTTTAAAATTCAACTGCCATCTTAGAAATTCCTTGTTGAGCAGAGCTCCTGTGTCCCTTAGCATCCGCATATCGTTATATATAGCATCCGTTTACTGGTATTTGAGTTATCAAAGATTACAATCTTTTATAAAAAATGGCAGCCATTTAAAAATCAGCAGCCATCTTGAAAATGTCTTCTTGTCCCTAGGTATCAGCATATAAAATTAGATTAAAGTCTGTCAACTGGTATTTGAATAATCAAAAATAACGTTATTGACTTAAAATGGTGGCCATTTCGAAATTTAGTGGCCATCTTGAAAATCTCTTCTTGAATAAAGCTCCTTTGTCCCTATGCATCAGCATATAAAATTTGAACCAAATCCGTCAACTCCTATTTGAGTGATCAAAGATTACATTTTCACGAAAAATGGTGGCTATTTGAATTGCCAAGACAAACGGACAGATGAATGGACGGCTGGCTTTTCTACATCCCCTTGAACTTTGTTCAGTGGGATTATAAGAGATTCTGTTGGTTTTAATACATCTTTAATTCAATCTTAAAATGTTCTAGAATATAATTTTCACGTTGCACCATTTCATTAATTTCTCTATAACATTGAAAGAACAAATGGTTATTGTCCTATACTGGTCTACAAATATCACACTTGTCATGTACACATAAACTTTTATACTATATCTTACCTTGTAAACAATTACTTAAAGTCCCCGTCTAAAGTTTGAAAATATTTTTTTATCATTTATTTACTATTTGTCATGACTTAAAAAGTTATTTTAGAGATTTTTGAAAAACAAAATTTTTTGAAAAAAAGTTGTGAGCATTTCATTTCTCAAATATTCAAATTTCCCGCCATTTTTCAAAAAAAGTTGAAATTTTTTAAACATCAAATATTTCTAAATGCATTTCAAAAAAGATTCTTTTTAACACCAATGCAAAGATTGAACAAAGGAGACACTATTCCAATAATAAAATGCCATATTTAATGGGCCACTTCAATGTTTTAGCATATCAAAAATATTTTGAAACATTAGTGATGTAACTAAGGTACCAAAAACTTTTTGAAAAAAATTTTCAATTTTTTTTAGATGTCAATCTTTTCTAAATATGCTAAACTTCAATAATAAACCAATGTTGATTGTCTAACCAGGTTAAAAGGAAGATTCGAACATGACTGTATTCACGCCTTCTATAAACTGTAAACAAAGTCAATGCTTCAGCTGGGTTATATTCGAGATCAATAACCCAGTTAATACGTGTAATGTGTGACGTCATAACAGTGGGTCGTAGTAATGGCGGACCATGATGAATATTCGAAACAATTTGGTGAGTTTTCATGTTCGAATCGTAATATAGACCTCAGAGCAGGGTTACTAGTTTCGAATAACACCCTGCTGGTCTCGGCACAAAAGCTTTCGAACCCCTCACTCCCTTCGGTCGTTCGGGATATAGAAAACGTTTGTGCCGATACCAGCGGGGTGTTATTCGAAACTAGAAACTCTTTGGTCTATATTTCTTAAATATATTATGTTTTAGATATCATTGTACCATTGGTTTCTATGAGAACTAAAATTTTGAAATGCATTTTTCTCGGAACCATTTTCATGCACTGATAAGTTCATTTCTCGCTTTAATTTTTTCGGCAAAAAAACATGCGAGATGAATGCTATGCATTGGTATGAATTGTGGCTAATTAAAAGATATGCGTGACCTCTAAAAGTTAGTTTTAAATAAATTCACAAATTTTGGAACAAAAAGTCTATCAAAAACCACTTTTTTAAATTTAAAAAAAAAGTTTCACATATCACACTTTGATAACATTTGGTAAGACTACAATATTAGCCAAAGTGGTTTAAACTTTAGATGGGGACTTTAAAAATTGCCACTTTTTATTTTCTGATTGCTTTAATATTATCCAGTAGTTGACTATTTTGAACATTTTCAAAGAAAATTAAATTTTCAAACTTGGTAAATACTTTTTTAAACCACATCTCTAGATCCAATTTTAGATGTAGACGTCAAATATGATATCGCTTTAAGTAAATTTTGAATGTTTAATGAAGTAAATCAAGATTATATCTACTCGTATCTAGTATATTGAAAAGAGAGTAAAAAATATTATTTATCTGTATGTCATACGACATCAGATACTGTACATCATGGCGTAACATTGTAATTGTTCATTTTACTGACAAAATGCAAAGATTTATGCGATAAATATGCGCAATGCTCCTCCAAGTAATTGCAAAAGTTTTAATATTGTTGGAATCTTCTTAAAAACTTCAAGTTTTGTTCAGATTAATGTGCGCTTCAATACAATTCTATATTCAAAAAGGTTGTGTCACGATATACAGAATGAGAATCACCAGAAAGTAGACATTTCAAACCCTACCCCTTTTCTTCTTTGTCGCGCTTTTCGGCCCTGCGCTCTCGTTGTTGCAACGTCTTTCTAGACTCTTTCACAGAGCCCCTTGTCATATTCAACTGATATACACAGACGGGAAGATATTAAGGATTGTTAAATGTATTATTTGTAATTTATTTTAACTCAAATATTTAGTTTTATTTATTTAAAGCAATGAATAATAAAGGAGAACATATAATACGCTAACGGCATAACGTCTTATTTCGTAAAGGCTTCACTTGGGGTTGCAGTGATAAAATGATGTCTATCTCAATATATACTGGTTCAAATTAAATGAAATTAATTGTATGTAGTAAGAGGTATATTTAAAAGAACATGGTGAAACATTGGAATGTTTTGAATGTTTATCTCTTAATTAGAAATATTTGAACTCAAAAAATGAAACGTAATTTTGTGAATTTTTCACATGGCTTCACTTCATATTTCTTTCAATCTATACTTCTTACAGGCTGAATTTTAATTGAAATGGTGTAGTTTTTTGATAAAAATATAGAATATATGCCTATATGAATATATCTGCCTGTCCACACTTTCTTGGCATAAATATAAGCGTTAAGTTAGCATTGTTATATTATGACGTCATCACACAGAATCCGTTTTGTCTTTTCCAAAATGGTGAATTTAAATATTGTGAAAATTTGAGAAAGATCCGTTAAGAAATGAAAAAGTTATCTTCATTCTTGCATTTAAAATTAAAATCATTTTTCTTCAAAATGTTACAGTCCACATCCGGTTTTAGCATAGAAAGTCACATAATATGGCTTGCGTGATTCTCATTCAAAAAGTCCCAAATCAATTATTTGGAATTCCGATAGGCAAAACATTTCATGGACATATGTGTTCAACTGATGACGAAAAATTGTAGAAAAATATGATTTTGCTGTCGAGATATCGCGGTTTTAAAAGTAAGTATGCATGTAAAAATGCAGTAAAATGCCGTGATGTACAGTATCTGATGTCGTATCATATGTATTTTTATTCTGTCAAGATAGTAATGGTTAATAAATTTTAAACTGTCTTCTGTATCCTAAAAACATTTGTTTGATACTGTTTCTTTAAATTTATTTCATCATTTTTGCCATTTGTACATAGTACAGGCTAATAGAGTCTCATTTCTACAGATTTGAATGAGTACAATTCCTTTGCGACCTCAGCTTTGGCATCACTAAGAAGTGTGTCTGGCCATTGCTTCCAGTTAATACAACGCCATGCTCCTTCTGCACACTCCGGACCAGTAGAGTAATGTCCAAAGAGGTTTGAATCAGTGCAGTCATCATACCAATATGCCCCATTCCTCATTTCAGAACACTGGCCACTATGATTATCATTGTCTCTGTCTTTTGTGCTAAACTGCATACCACTATGTCGCTCCATCAACCCATCACCTGCGGTGCCATAATAGTTGCTCAGTCTGAGTTTGTATTTTTTTGCCTCAGAATCAATGCAAAATCCACTATAGTGAGCATACTTGGTCTCGCAGTCCCATGTTGTTAGCTCAACTCGTAATCCATAGCGTTTCTGATGTAAAAGAGCAATGAGATTGTCAAACCCTATGAAGTACTCTCCCTTTGGATCACCGAACCCATTTTTGTATTCTTCCCAAGTTCGATCAAAGCTTACAGATCCGTCAAATCTTCGAGCAATTACCAAGCGCCTATCTCTACAGAGAGCTGTAAATCTGTGACCATCGATTGTTTCAATATTAGTGACACTAATCCCATCTACTCTACGACAGTCATGGTGAACTGGAATATATCATCTAAACGGCTTTTTAACTGACTTACAATGAAAACAAAACAATTACTGAATCATGAGATTAAAAGAAAAGTGAACAACAAAAAAGACACCTTAACTGTTCACTTACAGAGAATTCTACTACTGCTTCTCAGAGAATGAGTGACTTGAACCATTAGCAAGATCTGATACATGATTTACATCAATTTAAAAAGAGCTGAAACTAATTAAGATTCATACCTGGTGCAGCAGTCTGTAAATCGCAGCACTGAGATATCACAGACACAAAGCACACTGTTTTAAAAACAAGTATGCCTAAAATTATTGTATGAGACATCCTTTCTTTGCTCCTTTGATAATGAATACTAACTTGCAACAAGTGTCTTTGCTGAGTTGATCACACTCAATTCACGAGCACCTCTTCAATGTATCTATATACCAACTAATCAGCATCAATTATAGTTTCAGAGAAAAATGTACATTTCATTTGTCACGGTAAAAACAATATTATTCTACTTTGTGTATTTATGGAACTAGAATAAATTATGTGATTTCATTGACAAAATACCTAAATCTTTTGATATTGTACGAAATAAACTGTTAATGCTCACATCTGAACTTGTTTTTATTTTGCTTATAAATGCTTATTAGTTTATAATGCTTTAACTAGATAACGGCAACTCTGCCGAGTAGCAAATCCCAACGAACAAAATATCAATTACCGAATTCCAATCAATTATACTCATTACTTTGGTTAAAATTGAAAAATTTAGATTTTAGAATTGCGAATTCCTGCAAAGCAGCCATTTTGAATTTTCTGAGGTACAAATCTGAAAAATAATACCACAATTGTGATCTACTCCAAAATTCCTTCAATTTGAGTATAATATAGCCATACTTTGAAGGGATCGAAAAATTATTGCCAAATCGTACATTAGGCGGCCATTTTGAATTTTACGAGGCTAGAATCAGAAAAAAAGATACAATATTTGCAATCTACTCTTAATTGCCTTTCATTTGAGTATAATAAAGCTATACTTCAGAAAGATCTAAAAATTAGCGAAAATTTCTGTTTTCCTGACCCCCCATACACTGCCCCTGGGGGTCAGGATGAAAAACATGGAATATATGTGAAATAGATAGATGTTGTGAATATACTACCAAAATTTCAAACAATAATATTGATTACTTTGGTTTAGAATGAAAAATTTATGATTTTTGCGAAAAAGTCCCGTCATTTTTAAAGTGGCGGCCATCTTGAAAAAATTTCTTTTGAGTGAAACCATTCATCAATATACATCTTTCCACAAAATATGAAGAAAATCGGTCAACTAATATTTGAGTTATATTCCGGACTGACTGACGGACGGACAGAGGGCTTCACTATATCCCTACCGAACTTCGTTTGTTGGGATAATTATTCCAAACATTCTTAATATTGCAACTACAGAAGATACTGTCCATATTTCCTCTAATTTAGGTTTAATAAAGCTAATACGGGAAATTACTTTAGCGCAATAATCGACAAAAAGTGTCTTTTTTAAAAGTAGATTTAAATTTTTTCAATCATCAGGTGTAAGTCCTTACTTTACATGATTTAAATATCATTTTCAACAGCGGAAAAAGATGGGTGAGTAGTGGCAGAGGCAACAAGAAAGACCCAGAAAAAATGAAACATTGAACCATTCAATTTATAAATCATGATGAAATTAAACTAGACAACAACAACGCCAAAGCGTAGCAAATCCCATAGAACAGGCATTACTGCCATTTTTACAAAATCCTTCTACTTTTTCAGTTATAGCAAAATAAAAACTGGTTGCTCACTAGTCAAATTCTCACAAAAAAGTGTAATATGAAGTAGGCACATGTAAAATTTCAACAAAATCGCACATATGTACACTAGAGGTGTAACTCCCGAGTCCACAACTCGAGTACAGCTCGTCAGAACTGCCTATACATTGCCTCGAGTTGTCCTCTAGAAACTTGCAATCTATTTCAACTCAATAGCGAGCTAGCTATAATTGAGTAAACTCGCGAGTTTTGCCTATCTTGCAAGCATGTAAAATGAATTCGGGTCCAAGAGATCGTGCAATTTTAGCGCCCGTTTGCTAAAAAAACATTCTCAAAGCTTCACAAAGTTCAACAAATATCAAGGAATGACAAGTTATGCCAAAAAAATCAGAAAAAGATTGACTATCGAAGGAACTCAAGCAGGCGATAATAGAGTAGTCACCAAAATTGAATAAAAAATGGTCCCCCTATTCTCACGTCTTTACACGACTTTTACATAAAAAAGATGATCTATCATTAAAATCATAAGTCATAACTTAAGATCAATATCCAGCAGTCTTCATTAGAAATAATGAAGATAATCCGGGAAAACCATTCATTAATTTGAGGGGACCTTCTGGGTTTTCTAAAATATTGTTTGGTTAGATTCTTGGTTCATTTTAGCGATCTCTAGTCCTTACTATGCGGCGACGTCTATACCAGAGCGTTTTTGATTGAAATATGAGATAACTTCGATCTGTCAACAATTGGCCAGTTTTAAACCTCTGTCAACAGGATTCCCGTTTTAGTTATTTTTGTTCAACATCAATACAGAAAAAACCCCTATGACTCCTGGTTCAAAAGCTCGCCTATTTTCAAAATGGCCACCATTTTTGTCTCGCGAAATTCACTTTTGGACCATTTGCTTTAAAACCTGTGTTTCAAGGATTCCCGTTTTAAGTTATATTTGTTCAACATTAGAGAGATTTCGCACCTAGTGAAAGTACAACTTATAACGTATACTTATACTTATAGGTAAACATACAAGGTGTTTCATAATGTGAGCTTTTCGTCAGGAAAGATCTTCTCGGACTGTAATAAATACAGGTCAAAGGGATGCCATGTGTACTTTCTTGAATTGTAGCATGTTTAGTTGATCCAAATGTGTTTGTCTAGAATAAAATAGGCTCATATATAGTACATATGTTATAGACCCATCTCTTCTCAAATTGACTTTTTGGAGATGCTCGTTATGAAACACCCTGTATGTCATATGTTGAGCTACTGAATGGGTCGTTTCCAGGAATTGCTAGAACCTACTGGTTTGATTGGTGTTTCAAATTGATGGTTAAAGTATTTGATTGGATACTGTTCCCACTCAGCCAATTAATTAAAAAAATGCTTGCGGTCAATTGTTCCACACACAAGTAGGCAAATCTTTATACGGAGATCCAACTGTATACGTTATCATCTACATAAAAATACCGTTTTGTAAGTTCATTGAACTTATACTGATCATGAAAACGTTGAAATAATCAACTTGTTTATGTAATGACTCACTTTAAAGAATCATGACTCCCTTTAAAGGATCGTGTTTATAATACACTACAACTACAAGGACACGGAAGCAAGCATTTAATTATAATGTGCATAATCTACACGTGCAGATGACAGTGCATTCATAGTCTCTAGTTGATGGAGCTTTTCTATAACGGGAATAGTTATGTTCAATTAAGTACAATTTAAAATTGATTTTAGTAAATATAATAGTTCAACATGACCCTTTAAACTATACGTATATGTATAAGTTGTACTTTCACTTATGTGCGAAATCTCTCTAATAATACAGAAAACTCCCTTATGACTCCTGGTTCAAAAGCTCGCTTATTTTCAAAATGGTCGCCATTTTTGTGATACCCTGACATGTGAAACTAAACTGATGTAAAGTAGTTTTGTTATATGTAGTTGTAGTTTGTAGTTTTTGTACACTGTAGTGACTGATATGACATTTACATGGCATGGTTTTTGAGTCAATAAAAGATAAATATAACTGAAAAGTTATGACAATTTTTCTAATTTTTTATGTTTTGGCAATTGTAAACAAAGAAAGTTACTTCGCTAAGGCTTTAGAACCACTCTATCACCAGGTATAATATTGTTATCTGTAGAAAGTAAAATCAATTCCCTAAAGACTGGGGGCTGTTGTATCGCGCTCAGAAATAGCTGTGTAACATCATCTCCATTTCCGCAGGGTAAGGTCACCATTTTTACTAAATTGATCAGTTACATTCCGTGGTAATGTCAACAAGTTCATTAACGCAGATAAGGTCATAATGTGAAAATGGCAGCCATTTTTCAAAATGGCCACCTACTAGCCAAAGTGTAATAAGACAGTGTGCAATGCTTGAGTATTCACATATCAAATATGAACAAAATCGCTCAATTACTTTTTGAGTTATTGTACAAAATGTAAAATAACACACATAAAAATGGCCACCTTCTAGCCAAAGTGTCATAAAACAGTGTGCAATGCATATAAGTGTTCACATATCAAATATGAGCAAAATCGCTTCTCTAGTTTTCAAGTTACAGAAAAAATCATGAACAAGGCACAGGGTAACAATATCGTACCTAAAACATAGCAGTGTGGGCTTGTTGACCAAGAAAGCAAGATGGCCGCTGAAAAATTAATCAGTTCTAGAACTTCTTACCATGTAACATGTGTAAAAATTTGAAATAAATCCGTAAAGTGTTTTTATGGAATCGCGATGATGAGATTCAGCTAAGAACTCCTAAAATGGCCACCAGAATGCAAGATGGCTGCCGAAAAGTTAATCAGTTCTAGAACTTCTTACCATGTAACATGTGTAAAAATTTGAAATAAATCCGTAAAGTGTTTTTATGGAATCGCGATGATGAGATTCAGCTAAGAACTCCTAAAATGGCCACCAGAATGCAAGATGGCTGCCGAAAAGTTAATCAGCTCTAGAACTTCTTACCATGTAACATGTGTGAAAATTTGAAGTAAATCTGTCAAGTGGTTTTTCCTGGAATTGCAATGACAAGATTTATATATAAAAACTTCCCAGATGGCCGCCAGAATACAGATGGCAGCCGAAAGGTTAATCAGCTCTAGAACTTCTAACATGTATGAAAATTTGAAGTAAATCTGTCGAGTAGTCTTCCTGGAATCGTGATGACAAGAAGGTGAGACGCCGCCAGAGGATGCCAGTGATTGTGAATATCAGCAGAAATTAGGTATGTTCAGGGGTTTTCTTTGTAGCTAATGAAAATAGATGTAAGCCTTGATGAAATATCCAAAATTCGATATATTTTGATCGTTGAATATTTTGATCGTTGGATACGTCTCTGCACTATTTACTCAACTTTTAATGTCCTATATAACTTCTTCACATGTAAAACATACTGCTATGACAGTTATATATATTGTACCTAAATTACTGTAAAATTGGCACTAAAATGGCCGCCATTTTTTAACGAGCAGCCATTTTTAAAATTGGCTTTCCAGCAGAACTTCTAGCCCAATAGGTACAAATATGAACAAAATAGGGCCAACAAAATTATCGCCCTGACAGACGTATGGACATACAACTTCATTCGATGGGATAATGATCAAACTGCAACTGATATGTAGGCAAGGCTAC